AATAAATAGATAAGATAAAGAAGAAAAGCAAAGAAATAATAATAATATATTTTATATACATAAGTAGTTTAGAAAAAAAAATGATATTAGTTATAAATATACAAATATATAATGACTTATAAAAATAATAAAAATAATCAAGTGACAAATAACTAAAGTATATAGTAATAAAATATTAAAAGTACATATAGATAATAATAAAATATAGTAGTAATATAGAATATAAACATGTATATATATTAAAATACCGAATGGTATAGATCAAGAAAAAAAATAAATAAGAAAATAAATAATAAAACTATATAATTAAATATAAATGCTAATAAACAACATTTAAATTAAGAAATAAAAAAAACATGGGGACCGAATTGAATGAATACAGAGTTGGGGATCAATTTTAAGAGAGGTTAGGGCGATAATGGAAGAATTAAAACAATAGGGGTCCAAAAAGGGATTTACCCTTAAATACGTAAAAACATGCGGGTCAGAAGACTGGGTCGGGTCAACACGCGGGTTAACTGGTCGGGTATGGGTTGTGTATAAAAGCCAAAAATTTGTTTAAAAATTCATTTTCTCTTCTTCCCTAGCCGAGTCACTCCCTCTCTCTCAACATTTCTCTCGTCTGTTCTTTCTTTAAAAATAAGAACATGGTTGGGTTCTCGCATGAACCCAGATTCTGGCCACCTTAGCTCCGCCTCGCCGCCGCCGTTCAACGGCGGCAAAACCTTATTTTTTTTGGCCATTCGAAAGATCGTTTTACCCTCGTTTCAAAAATCAAAGTCTTTTCTAAATCGGGCCTCGGGGAACCGTGGATCTAAGGGAGAAGATCTTCGGTTTACCCCTTATGTTCATCGGCCAAAACGTTTCCTTTGGTGGTTTTCCGAATCAAGAATAACAAAACGAACGCCTGCAAGTATCAAAACGAAAAAAAAGGTACAAGCTTTACCTTTTGTTCTTCTCAAAAACGTTCCGGTTTTGCTCTAATTTTGCTTGGAATTTCTGCTTTTATTTCGTGTAATCCGAATCCCCCTTACAATAGGTTGATTACATGTTTATTTATACTGTAAAAAAATATTTTAAAATTACATTTTTGAATCCTAATGGAACTCTAATGCTGGATTGTTGCTTTGGTTGATGATGATGGTTGTGACTCTTGCGTCGGAGGACTCGGGGACTGTTGGAGAGGCGTGAAAGCTGCGGTGTCCTCGAGCGGCTGGAAATAAGGGATGCGACGCTGCTGGTGAGGGGGCGTGCTAGGGTTTGGAAGCATCAGAAACGAACTGTTGGGCCTGAGTCACTTGGGCCATTTTTATTTACGTGTAATAGGCCTGCAAATATGATAAAACAATTTGTAAATATATATATATACACGTTAAATAATCATATATAAATGTGTGAGGAAATTATGTATCTACAGTATCGAGAGGTTACTGAGTTCCCTGAATGTGGAAAATCTGGTACTCCCTGCAGCCGAGGAAGCTTTATCAATTTGGACAAAGAAATTTGGGTTTACAAAGATGAGTGAGCAACAAGTAAATGGTTTCAGAAAAACGAAGGCCATTTTAACTTGTTTCTACCAAATAATACTTTTGAAACAAAAGAATTAAAGCCAAGCTGGAGAAAAAGGTGCAGCACCAGATAACTGAATAAATCCGAATTACCAGAGTTGGCCGAGACTAACATTTCTTTTCCCTGTTTGTAAAATTGGGTTACTAAAGCAAGCAAACACTGCATGCAGCAGACCTTTATCACGCATGCATGCGCCATGACCATCTTTTGTTTGTTTCTTTTGGGCTATTCTCTGTATGCTTTTTGAATATGTAAAAATTAAAAAGAAAGGAGAAGAAAGAGGAATTTTTATTGTTACGGATTTTTGTAACCCTCTGGAGACCTTGAAATGAAATAGCTGGTTCGACCTTTAGCCAACATCAGGAGCTAGCATTCATTAAAATAACACTCAGGATTTGGGGTTTTTATTTTTTATTGTTGTTGCATGCTTGCATTGCAAAGGGAAATTTCCATGCATGACTTTGATCCTTGTCCGTATTATGGGTTAGATGGAGAATGGATAGCATTCATGGTAGGAAAGCTGATATTGCTTGTGCCTGGATATGTATGTAGGTCAAATGTGTATTCGCTCACAAGTTGTTGATAGTGAGATGTTCTAAACGTGCGTTTAGAGGAAATGTAATGCTGCTCCCTTTGCCCTTCCATTTTCCATTTAACCCAGAATCAAGTCTAGTTTCAGGCTTATTACTAAGACTTCGAACCCTATATGATGAATCCCTAGACCATAACCTTGAACTATAAACCCTAAATCAATGGTTGAAGTAAGAGGGATAAATAGTTAGGTAGCCAAAGATATATTTTACCCTAAAAACTAATGTTTTATAAATATTGTATTTTACTTAAACTACATTTAGATTTTTAACTAATTTGTAATTATACCATTAGTATTCTATAATTTAACGTTTTATAAAATTAATTTAATGGTGTTCATTGTTAACGGTGTTCATCCATGTTCGACGAGCGTTGTAGAATTTTTAAAAGATAAAATAATCTTTTAAGTTCTCTAAATTTACATTTTTTTAATCAATTTAACCTGTAATTTTAGAAAAATATTATTAATTTAAACAATACATTTTTTAATCATCTATGTTTTCATAATTTGGAAGTCTTCACAGAAGCTGCTCTTAACCTGGCGTTGTGGGCAACCTACTATCCTACTTCCCCCTTACCCCATTACATATGGGAATAAGGGTCAGCTAATTTTTAATCTATCATGTACATTGATTCAAAATTTTAATTTCACTAAAATTTTTCTGATGTGTTACATCGAATCAATCAATGAATATCTCGTGTTTTTTTTAAATTCTCTAAATTTGAACTTAAGTACCTAGTGAGTACATGAATTTTTTATTAGAACCTATTTAATACCTAAACTTGAAAATAGTCAAATACTTTAATCTAAAAACTTGTCACAATTAAGATCTTATTAACATGTCACTTCCAGCCAATCAGTTATATTTTAGAGATATATTGTAGCAAAATCAAACAAATAATGCACACGGAATAATTACTTAGTAAAATAAATCACCCTTAAACTTATCAACATTAAAATTTTATTAACTCGTCACGTGGAGATGATGAATTCCATAAAATATATTAAAAAAATAAAACCCGTCACATAAAATAGATCAAAATTGTATGAAACTTGTCACCTCCACATGATAAATTTCATGTGCGTCATAGCAAATGATTTAAATCCCAAAATAATTCTCGACCACCCTATTTTTTTATAAAAAAAATTCCACCCGTATTATTTACCTGATTTTGCCACATATCACATCAATTGATTAATTGGAGGTAATATTTTAGTAAGAAAACATAACCGTGAAACTCGATCCCACAACCACAAGGTTAAGAGCTTTACGCTCTTACCAACTGAACTGACAACCTACTATCATACCTCTTCCTTACCTCATTACATATGGAAATAGGGTCAACTAATTTATACATTTGATACACGTGACAATTTTCAAGTTCTTACATCAGATAGGTCCAAAACAAAAAACCAAATAAACCCAAAAAAAATTCAAGTGTCAATCATGTACTTCAAGCTGAGTTTAATAGTTCATTTGGCAAACACGTGACGTCCATTGATTGGCTAAGAGTAATATATGAGCAGATTTAATTTTTCGATTAATGTACGTTATAAACCCCAAATTCAGGAGTTTGGTGCTTATGGCCAACAGGCCAAGTTCGGAGCGAATGATTTCAATCCCATAATATTATAAATATTATATTCGAATTTAAACAAAACCATAAATACACATTCAACTCAACTAAAAGAAAAATCAAATAAAATTTGAATGATAAAATAAAAATCAAAAACTCGAATCTTTTTTGTTCGAATCAATTCAATACTCACCTCTACCTCATATCCCTTAAAATTAATTTACATTATAATTTAAACATATCCAAAACCATACAACAAGCTAAAAAGTTAAGCAAATCTGTCCTTTAATTATTTAAATAATTTTTTTATTAAAATTATTATTGTTAAAAATTAAACCGTTAAATTAATAACGATAACTGACGTGACACAAAAATCATTTGATAACTACAGCTATGATGGTTTTTATCAATTGAAAAGATCACCCCTAATCAACCATCGAATTAAATAAAATTGAACTTCGTAAATTTTCTTATCAAACAAAATCTTCTAGCTATTGAAATTGAACAACCATTCCATTCATTGAAAATTTAACCTTTCTGACTAGTAACAACTAGCAACAGTGACTATAATAAAAGCGAATTAAAAGCTTAGTGATTATAATATAAGTTCTAAAAATTCAGTGATCAAAATAAAAGTTTTCAAAGTACTACAACAATCAGTGTAGTTTAATCTTTCTTTCATAAGTAATTGTCTGATTTCTATGAAGAAACTACTGCTTCCATGGATATTCAGATCTGCCATAAAAGTAATCCTTCCAACGCTTAAGAAAACCACATTCCACAAATTCAAACATATCCAAGTGTATATAATGACAATCTCTATTCTCATCCAATTAATCAAAGCAAACATAATTATCATTATGTCTATGTTGCTGACCCATCGTTTTTCTTTAAATACAACCGGTATCCGATACCAACGTCGAATGCATATCGTATTCGTACATGGATATACAGGTATGAACCTCCAAAACTCTCTAAATACATTGAAAAAGAACTTTTGAAAAAGAAAGCCGTATATAAAACACACGCCCCACCTTAGTTCAAGTAACATGGAGCATCTGTGTCGTTCGAGTATCCAATTTATGGCACGACTTCAGGTAAAGAATTTTATGCAAGTAGGGACGGGAAGGTCGTGGTAAACAATTTATGAAAACCAGTTTCACAGATTATTAGCTCCAGAAACCAATGATGTATACTATCAGTGTAAAAATCTACTTTATATCCCAGAAAAATTGTGGAATGTAATGAATCAACTAGAAACTAAGGTACTATGCAAACAAATTTATGTGTAAATAATATACATAATAGTACATGATACCAAATAAAAACTGATGTTTTAGCCAAAATTTCTTCAAGTATTTTTCTAACTACCTACAATTGACAGGAGTATCCTTGTAAGAACTACTTGTATCTAACTAAAAAAAAATCCAAGCATTGTCTAAGCTCAAGAATCCAAGTCAAATATTTACCTTAACATTTTGCAGTAGTTTGCTCTGTTCTTAGGACCTGTCAACATTGGTGAATACCCGAGTTGCCTCACCATAACTTCAGATATTTCAGATTATATGATATTTTAAACCTGTGACATACAAGTAATGACCACATTATTCTCAGCTCAATTCTCTTTTATCGTCTGGAAAGCATAAAAAGAATATCAATCCCATATTACCGATACTAAATCGGGTTGGTAAAATTCATACCGCGTGCTTCTATACATTGATATCAAATAAAAATGGAAACAAATCTGGTATAAGGAAAAAGGTAATAATTGACGATCAAACAAAAACAAGGCTAAGCAGTCCAGGGTACACAGCTACTCAGGCAATTTTCTAAACTCTCATTTTTTCTTCTACCTCAACCTTCTAAGGTGCTTTGCTATCTAACATATCTAAATGACCAATTGATTTCATCATTGACTCGTCTATAGGGTGGACAATTTAAATATTGGGGGTTGTTTTGGGGGGGGGGAGGCAATATGAACCACCAGCACAAAGCGATTACTTGCTAGCAAATCACTTTTGAGTTTTGTACCTGAACATTTTAACAATAATGGAAAAGAAAGGGCGATCAACCTTTCTTCAAACGTAGAGTAATTGATTCAAATATCGATAAAGATTCATCACTATCAAGTCTTTGAAGTTGGTTTGCACTGAGATATATCAAATTTTATTTTAATTAGTTGCAGTTTTTAATTTTAGCCAGTAGCAGGATCGCTATCAGTGACGACACAAAAGAAGGTTTGAACACAGTTTCCCCAACCTAGCAATCAAAAGGAAAATAATCTTTAGAATCATATAGGCTGAGTGTGATTTACAGTTCCCACGCTTACTGAAAATTCAAGTCCTATTTTGTTGGTCAAAAAGTTCTATTTTTAAGTATTTTATGTTCTCATTGTCAGACTCCCCGCAACAACTGGCACAAATAACTACCCTGGGTTTGCTTGCTTATCCTCGCAAGATCTTTAAGACCCTAAACAACAAAATTTTATTTCTAGTTAATGGCCATTGTAACCATGCAGTGTCTACAACTTTTGCCTTTAAGCATTCCTCCCCGACCATACTAGATCCTATATCAATACAAACAAACAATAAATGTCCCCTCGTAAAAAATTTCAAGGAAGGCACAAGCATTATGCAATGATATTCACCAACCCCCCCTTTTCATCCTCAGAGTTATCACACCTCAAATTCCTCTAAAACCTCTAACAATATATGAGGATTTCTACCTTCAAAAGAACACTAGCCCACCTCATAAAAATTTTATTTAGAACCAAACAGATCACTGAACTCAGATTTGGTTCTATCAAAATAGACCAATTTTCTACGCATCAGCATGGTTACTCGTACCACCATTAGAAATATCTGCTTAAAATTTTGCATGAGATGCAAGTCCAGAAAACTGTAACAACTCAAACACTTTTCATTAGTTTCTATATGAAAGACTATACTACACTGTTCAAAAAGGCCAAAGATAAACTGTGATGATTAGAACAGTTGTAAAACTTTGAGGAGTTTGTGATTGATTGCAACAAAAGGTAGCTTCTATATTTATAATATTTTCAGAGATAGTGAGGGGCAAACATCTTGATTCTTGTTTTGTTCCTAATTCCATTATAGAACTGAATAATAACATAAAAGTTAGGATTCAGCAAGCCATATCATTAAAAACTGGCTCGCAGAATAAGATGCAAATCTTGTCAAGGTGGGACTTGGTTGATGAATTGCATAGAAAGCACAAGAATTTCCAAGGAAACCATGCTCATCCAAACAAGAATCAAATACAAAGCAACCACCAACAAACATTGCAACCATATGTACAGGTTTAGTCATCTCAATGGCAATGTAGGAAGATATAGCATAGGATTTATTATTCCTTTTCCTAAAAGAACCCAAATATGAACTGCTAGATTCAGCCATCAGTCTCGAAACTTGGACAGCATAAATCCCAAGTTGCTATATCTGTCAGTCCCTGGACATAGAAGGAATACATCCCAAGTCCTATAAAATATAAAAAATTGCCTCATCTGATATGAATCTCCAAACGTTACGAAAAGAAAGATGCATGCATCTCAGCAAGAAAAAGGAATGTCTCACTCCCATTGTTTCATTCTATTTGCCTCTCTTTCCCTTTTATTGATGTCCACTACTACGTTTCAATCTTCAGCACCTAATACAATTTACTTTTCTACCTTTTATGGCAACGTTAGCCTTTTTGGCACTGAAAATCATTTAACATAATAACTTCTTTAATTAAAAAACCATATCCGAAAATTCTATCAATTATCCTCTTTTTAGTCTTGAGCATCTATTACAATTTACATTTTTGTCTTCTATCTAACCCTTAACCTCTTTGGCAATGAAACTCTAAAACATGACTTAATTTATATATATACATATCAAAATCAGAGTAAAAATCTTATATTTTGTGTAGGGGAGGCATACATTTAAATATACCAAATATTGTTTTATCTTAGGAAACTTCTAAATTAGGTAAGAGATTGATCCTAGGACTAATTATAATCCCTTAAGAGTTAGAGATCCAAATTAATAAAATACATTCACAAAGATCCTACTAGATTACATAATCTACTTAATTTGGGAATCTAATTTCTGACACTCCACATCAAGCTAGGCATGGATGTCTTCCATCCTCAGCTTGCCTGTTAACTTCTGAAAATACTTACCAGGTAATCCCTTGGTAGGTATATTTGCAACTTGATCTCCAGGGGTCACATAGGGAGTACAAATCAGGCCACTGTCAAGTTTTCCTTTATGAAGTGTCTATCCACTTCAACATGTTTTGTTCTGTCATGTTGAAATGGATTATGTGCAATATTAATTGTTAACTTGTTATCAATCCTCTAAAATAATCTTTAGTCATTATAACTCATAAATTCCCAATGCCATAGCTCGAAATTCAGCTTCTGCACTAGATCTAGCCACAACATTCTGTTTTTTTCTCCTCCAAGTAACTTAGTTCCCTCCAAAGAAAGTGCAGTACCCTGAGGTTGACTTCCTGTCAACTATGGACCCTGCATAATCCGCATCAGTGCATGCTTCCAAAGACAAATTTCTCCTCTTTTAAACAGATTTCCTTTGCTCGGTGTCCTTTAAGTAATGCAAAATTTGAGTCACAACCCTTAGATGTGATTCGTTAGGATTGTGCATAAACTGGCTCACAACTCCAACAGCATATGCCATGTCTAGTCTGGTGTGTGAAAATAAATAAGTCTTCCCACAAGCATAGTTGTAAAAAGCGCGCCTGAGGCGCAAAAGCGCAGAGGCTCACTGAACGGGGCTTTTTCAACACTGAAGCGAGGCACGTAGCCTAGGCGCACCTAAGCTCAGCGAGGCGCAGCAAGGCTCTGAGGCGCGAAGCTCAGTCTAGGCGCGATGTGGGCTTAAAACCTTGTGTTCTTTCATCGAAATCCCCACCGAGGTTTGCAAATCGGGCCTCGACTCGAAGAACTCGATGATTTTCTCTTGTGTTTCCCTATTTTCCCCTCTCATGTAGCTCTTCAAGGAGGCTTTGTCGACCTCGAGTTTATTGGTCGACTTGGCGTACGTTAGCATGTTGAGTTGGGGTGAAGGTTGGAGCGGTGGAAGTGGGGTCAGGTGAAGGGACAACCACTGAATACGGCGGTTCACGGCAGCGATGGATGGGTGTTGTTCGTCCTCCGGCGTCTTATTTGGGTTCATTTTCTACAAAGAACAAACAGGTCGGTGAGGGGGATTTTGAGCGGTGGTTTGTCTTCGTACAAATAAGAAGGTGAAGAAAAGGAGGAAGTGACTAGTGAGTAATTTTAAACACAAAAGCTATGGTAACATGTCGTATTTTGATTGGCGGGAAGAAAAATCTTTAGTTGTCGTGGGTACTTGTGGGGAATGGATAAAGTCATGACGTGGAACATTTTGTGACGATTGATGTGGATATTTGTTTTATTAATTTTCGTAATTAAAAATTTACGTCTAACACATTTTTCTATATTTTACCTTTTCTAAATAATGATTAATATAAATTAAATGTCTAATCATATTTAAAATTAATTTTGATGTTTAAATTTTTTTATTAAAATAAGTGTATAATGTTTCTTCCATTACACTTTTAGGTTCCTACTGTTAATAAAAACGTGAGTGACACGTGTCAAGTTTGATGTTTGATGATGATTATCAGTGACTTTATTTGATGTTTTGTTTATGCATGTTGGATGCTTTTGTTAAAATTAGTATTTGATTATGCTTGTTGATAGCTTTTATGACGTTAGGTTGGTATTTGAGTTTGAGAATGAACTCTATTGAAGCCTAATATTGGTATCTATGATATTTGAGTTTGATTGCATAATATACATGTATTACAATTTTTTGGATATCATGCGCCTCGCCTTTGTGAATCCCGCGCCTTTCATGCGCTTCGCGCCTCAAGGCTCTAGGAAACTTTGCGCCTCGATGCGTCTTGAGCCTTTGATAACTTTGCCCACAAGTCTCTGAAACAACTTCTATCAACTACTACATCATCATCTTTTGAGACTCCAATCTTGTGATTGAATTCTATTGGAGTTTCTGATGGTCTACACCCTAATTTTCTAGTCTCCTTCAATAAGTCTAGAGTTTACTTCTGTTGAGATATAAAAACCCCCTGCTGTGAGTGTGGCACTTCAATACTAAGGAAGTATTTTAGTCTTCCAAGTTCCTTCAAACTCTTTTTTTTATAAGAACTTCAGGCCTCATTAAAACCTCCTTGATTGAAGGTGCTTGTAGATAAGCTCCTTAATCAACGGAAGGAGAAAAAGAGTGCCTTAGGATTTTATTGAACAAAACAATAATATACATAAGATACATCCTTATAAGTAAACTAAACACAGACAAGTCAGTACAAGGTAACCTTGTAACCCATATGCATAACCATTTAATCAACCAATTCCTTCTTTAGCTAAGGCATCAGCCTCTAAGTTGGTTGTCCTGCTTACCCATCTAACCACACCATCGAACATATTAAGCCAGTGTGAATGTCTCTAACCAAATAAGCATAAAAATCAGGACATAATTCATCCCCCTTAACCCAATCCATTGCCATCTTGCTGTCACTTTCAATAATCAAACTGTCCTTTATCCTCTCTCGAAAATCAGCATAGAATGGTAGCCCCTTTTGAATAGCTTTTAACTCCATAAATGTTGGAGGCCCCGGACCTGCAGGCTCCTTGAAAGACCCTAAGGTAGTTCCAAATGAATCTTTTAAAACTCCCCCTTAACCACTCTTCTTCAAATCCTTAGTCGTCGCTGCATCAACATTAATTTTCACAAAACCCATAGGAGGAGGATTACAAGGAATAATAGACACAATCATATTAGAATGGATGGAACAAGCGTCCCCTAAGGAGGGTCTGAAATAAGAGTTTAAAAATATACACCCTTTTATTCTTCGCAAGGAACCATGAAGCAAGCCTAAACCTTGCTAAGAAGACGAATTCAACCTCATCCAACTTCCCTCCTTCAAAAACAATTGAATTCCTCAATTTCCAAGTAGTCCAAATAACTACCCCTGGAATAAGAGACCAGATTGTAGAATCGGTCTTCAAAGCATCCCCAGCAAAGAGAAAACTTTTAGCATTATAATGGAAAACAGTTTGAATCTTCCAAAAGTTGAGAGATTTATTCCAAACAGACCACACCACCGAACAAGAGAAAAACAAATGTGAAGGAGACTCTTCTTCCATCATGCAAAGAGGGCATAACAGGTTTTGAATTCATGTTATTCCTCTTTTCACCAGTTCTGTTTTAACACCCAATCTCCCTAGAACAACCTGCCACATGAAGGATTCTACTTTTGGTGGCAGTTGACCCTTTCAGAATCGTTTCCTGTAACAATTATATCATCTACATATACCAAAAGTGCAGTCACTCCCCCTGAAGAAGTATGTTTCACGAACATAATATGGTCACCTTAGCTTTGTTTAAAACCTTGTCTCAACATCACTTTAGTGAATCTCTCAAACCAAGCTCTCGGGGACTGTTTCAATCTATATAGAGCCTTCTTCAGTCTGCAAACTGCCTGTCCAATATTCGGCCCAAATCCAGGTGGTGTATCCATGTATACTTCCTCTTCAAGTCTCCATGTAAGAAGACATTTTTAATGTCAAACTGTTGCAAATTCCATCCCTGAATAGCTACTAAGGACAGTAGGACTCTCACTGTGTTCATCTTTGCAACATGGGCAAATGTCTCAAGGTAATCTATCCCATAGGTTTGAAAGTACCCCTTTGCCACCAACCTTACTTTGTACCTTTCTAAAGAGCCATCTGAGTTATACTTGACTGTGAACACCCATCTGCATCCCACTGTTTTCTTCCCTTCTGACAGCTATACTAAGTCTCATGTTTTATTTTTTCCAGCGCTTCCATTTCATCTTTGTAACTGTTGCAAATTCCATCCCTGAATAGCTACTAAGGACAGTAGGACTCTCACTGTGTTCATCTTTGCAACATGGGCAAATGTCTCAAGGTAATCTATCCCATAGGTTTGAAAGTACCCCTTTGCCACCAACCTTACTTTGTACCTTTCTAAAGAGCCATCTGAGTTATACTTGACTGTGAACACCCATCTGCATCCCACTGTTTTCTTCCCTTCTGACAGCTATACTAAGTCTCATGTTTTATTCTTTTCCAGCGCTTCCATTTCATCTTTCATAGCCTTTTTTCAGTTCTTCTCTAATGCCTCGGATACAGTGGTGTTTAGGCTGGTGAGGAAGGCTTCGTGGTTTGGGGATAAGTTTTTATAGGTCATAAACAAGTAGGAAGGATGTTTTGTAGTATAGGTTCTTTTTCCTTTTCTAATAGTAATGGGAAATTCAAAATCAGAGGTAGACAGAGAATTTTCAATATCATTTTGATCAGAATGAGTTTCAGAATGTACCTCAGATTGTATAGGAGCAGGAGAAGAGGATGATTGAATTTGCATAGGTGCCTTCTTCTTTGAATAGACTAGTAGGAGACAAGTAGTATCATGAATGTTTGGCTGTGGTGTATTAGGTGCTGGGTTTGTTCAGAATATATGGGTGTATGAAAGTCAACGAGGCTGAAGCAAAAAAAAATATGCATCCTTATCTTCCCTAAATGATATTTCCCCCTGAAGATAAGGAACAATAAAATAACTTTCTTTTTCCACAAAAGTGACATCAACAGAGGAGTAGTATTTCTTTGTAGGTGGGTAATAACACTTGTAGCCTTTTGGCTGGGAAGAGTAACCAATAAATATGCATTTTAATGCTCTTGGATCAAACTTACCCCGACCTTGAGAATGTATATGAACAAAAGCAACACCCCCAAATATTCTAAGTTTTAGGTTAAGAGATGGACTGAAATTTGGAAAGAACTTTGTGAGGGCTTTAAGGGGACTTTGGGATTCAAGAATTTTAGTGGGTAGTTTGTTTATCATGTAAGTGGCAGTTAACACTACCTTTCCCTAGTACTGTTAAGGCACTTTGTTTCGAAATAGAAGGGCTCTTGTTGTGGCAAGGAGATGGCCATTCTTCTCTACTACACCATTTTGTTGGGGGTATTTCCACAGGAGGATTCGTGTATGATACCTTTTTCTAGAAAGTAAGGAGATAAGACCCGATTAAAGTAGTCCTTAGCATTGTTTGATCTGACTCGCTTTATTTCAGCCACAAACTGAGTTTTAATCATTTGTAGAAGGTTTTAAAAGTAATGGTAACATCTGATTTCTATTTTAGTAGGAAGATCCATATAACCCGAGTACAATAATCTATAGATGACAAAACTATCTAGCCCCGATTATATTAGGAATAGTGGGGCCCCAAATATCACTCTGAACAAGATTAGAAGGGCTGGTAGTTCTTTTATTGCTAGCTGGAAAAGAACGCTTGTGTTCTGCAAGTTCACACACTTTGCAATGAAATTCTTCAATATTTAAGGATTTAAATAAAGAGAGGAACATAATCTCCAAAACTTTAAAAGGTGGGTGACCAAGGCGAAAATGGTGGATTGGGAGGTTGAGAAGTGGCTGCAAATTATCTCTCTGTTGAATAGCTCTTCATTGTCACTATTAGAGGAAGATTGTTGGATTTTGTTGAGAAATGGAGAGGGCTATTTTACTGCAAAATCATGCATGGAAATTTATTTTGATAGAGAGGGTAATGATGATTTAGAAGGTAATTGGGAAAGGTATGTTTGGAAAGGAGTAGCTCCACCACGAGTGGAATCTTTTGTTTGGCAACTTGCTCATCATAGAGTTGCGGTGAAAGAGGAACTGCTGAAGAGAGGAGTTACAGGGGTTGAAGACAATGTCTGCCCATTGTGCAAGAAGTGCAATGAGTCGATCTCACATTTGTTTCTGCATTGTGATGTGGTATGGGATTTGTGGGCTAAATTTTTAAAGTTATGGAATGTTTTCTTTGTGATTCCTGGTAAGTTGATGGATTTCTTAATTGCATGGGATGACCTAGTTCCGAGATCTCACATATGGAAGTTTATTCCAAGAGCAATGTTGTGGTCTGTTTGGAAATGTAGGAATGAGGTGATTTTTCAGAATGGGAAGGTAGATTTTGCGTTGTTCTTCATTACACGATTCAGAATTGTTTCTTGGTTTGAAACTTCATTTAAGGATGTTCATATTCATTTTGATTCTTGATGGGGGATTTAAAATTAGCGGATCAGCATGGTAATATGAAAAAGAGGTCTCTTCCTTCTTCTAGGTGGAGTTCTCCGGAAGGGTTCTTAAAAGTTAACGTAGATGGTGCAATGGTCAAAGGTTGGGATAAGGGTGGAATAGGTGTCTTGATTAGGGATGGCAGTGGTTCGGTGCTTGGGACGTTTTCAGAGAAGGTAGGGGGAGGTCCTCCTTTACTCGCAGAGCTATTGGCGATCAATAGAGGGTTGATTCTTATTGATGAAGTTGAGTACTTTCCAAGTCAGAAGTTCATTTTGGAATTGGATTCTTCTAATGCTCTGAAGTGGATTAATAATCCGAACCTTAGTACTACTTTGTTTCAATCCTTGGTAAGGGATATAGCTACCATTGTGGAGAGGAAGGGTATTATCATGAGGCATATTTCGAGAGCATCAAATTGGGAAGCGGATGAATTAGCTAAAGCTGATATAGGTTGATTTTTAAGTTTGTGTAATGCTTAAAGGTGTTATGCCTTGGTTATTTTTATTAAGGGAGTAATAGGGTGTGTTATGTTTACAGAATTATGGTTAATTTGTTATGTAAGGAGTTGTTAGTTGTTGAGGTGTGGAGGTGTATTATTGTTCTCATTAATAAAAGTTAGAGATGCTCTTTTCCTCCTTCCAATGTCTTTCATGTTATGTTTGTAACATGTAGGATATTTTTAATGAGGCCTTATTCTATAAAAAAAAAAGGCGAAAATGGTGTAACCAGATTTGATCTTTATTGTTTATAGATTCATATAAAGGAGATGATAGTTGGGTATTCAAGACTCTAACTAGTCTACTATGGTCTTCAAGGTAGTATAGGTCGTTGACTTCCCTAACATGCCCAATCCTCCTCCTCGTTTCTTGCTCCTAAAAAATACATTGTGTAGGATGAAACAAAAAACCGAAATTAGTATTATGAGTTTTTGGATAGATATGAGATTAGTAAATAACTTTGGTACATGTAGGACATTTTTTAAGTACTAGGGTTTTACTAATGGCAATATCTCCTTGGCCAGCAACAGTTATCATGGTACCATATGCAATTGTGATTTTTTTGTTACTAGGACAGGGTGTGTAGATAAGAAGTTTGAGCGAGGAATTAATCATATGGTCTGTAGCTCCTTAGTCAATCATCCAAGAACTTTGGGTAGGTATATGGGTAGAAGATTCCAACATTAGAATCCTGAATAAAGGAAGTGGATATACCTGAATTAATCATATGGTATGTGGGTAGGTATGTGGGTAGAAGACCCCAAGACATTAGAATCCTGAATAAAGGAAGGTTTTTCTAAGGATCCCAGTAGATTTTTCAATTTTTCTACTTCTTCCCTGTTGAATTCGACAGATTGTTCTTCAGGTTCCTTAACCATTTGTTTGGTTGTATAAGCTCTGCTCTATCCTCTTACTGAACTTTCTCTCTGTTAAATTCTTACTTGTTGACTGAGGCTTTCCATGTAACCTCCAACACTTCTCTTTAGTGTGGCAAGGCTTTCTGCAGTAAGTACACCTGTCACAACCCTAGTAACCAAGGTTGAACTATCTACTTGACTATTTTTTCGATCATAACTCCCCTTCTTCCTTCCTCAGTACGAACGATTGCAATGGCTTCATCTAGTGAGGGCAGATCTTCCTACCAAGAATCTGAACTCTCACTGCATCAAATTCAATATTTAGTCTAACAAGAAAACCCTAAATTATGTCCTTTCAACAAACCTTTTTAAGGTTATTACATCTTCACTACACTTCATTTCGATACTCTAGTAGTGATCCATCTCCTGCCACAAGTTTCGCAGTAGGTTAAAATATGTTGTGATTGATGATATCTTGGTCTTGATTTCATAAATCTTGGCAGCACCTTAATCTTTGAGTAAGTTTGTTTTACAGCCTCTCATATCTCTTGGGCAGTATTGAGGAACATGCATATGTCATTGATTTCTGGCACCATGAAATTCCATAACCAGGACATCACCAATGAATCTTGTTCATCCCAAAATTCAAACCTAGGATCTCCCTCCTTAGGTCCAGTTCCAAGAAAATGACTTAACTTACCTCTCCCCTTTAAAAACGTACGAACCAACTGAGAGCATTTAAGGTATTTTTTCCATTCAACCGATAGACAACTTGTATGTTTTGCAAGTCACCTACCGGATTAAAATGACCCCCTTCATTCACTGTGACTCCCTGCAGGGCTTCAATGCTATTGGTATTATCAGCCACTTCAACCATTTGTTTGTTGGGATAACAACACACGCTCAAGAGACGGGTTTTAAGAAAAAAAATATTTGCTAGACCGAGATTAACAAGTCATGGAATGAGCGTAACAAGCTCTAATACCATGTCAAAATCAGAAGTAAAAATCTTATATTTCTTGTAGGAGACTCATATTTAAATATACAAAATATTGCCTTATCTTGGGAAACTTCTAAACTAGGTAAGAGATTGATCCTAAGACTAATTATAATCCCTTAGAGTTAGGGTTCCTAACTAATAAAAAATACATTCACAAAGATCCTACTAGATTACATAATCTACTAAATTTGGGAATCTAATTCCTGATAATATATGTGTGTGTAAACACTAAGGGCCAAAATTCATTTTTAATTTCCATGCCCAGACAAACATGGTCAAAAAAGAAAAGACGTGAAGTAGAACTATTCTCAAAACTATCAATTCAAGAGCACAAAATATGATTTGGTAATTAATGATCCTGAAAGAAGAGAAACAAAATTACCAAAATTATGCTCCCGCCACTAGCAACATAAAGACAGTTCAAGAGCTTATGTCAATTTATCAGGCATTTAGGATCACCACAAGTAAAGAGAATGCCTAAAACAATCCAGCAAATGGCCTTTCACTTCTTAAATTATTGCTGCTTAAAGTTTTAAATATCGTTAAAATCTCTCTCCACTTATAGCAGGTGGAGGGGGGGAAATCTGGTAATGGATCTAGTGCTTAAAAAAGTTCACACTTCTTACTAATGAACAAAAAAAAATGATTGACATGCTTAGCAATGAACCGAAGTTGCATCTAAGCAAAATCAGCAAAGTCACAACTATGTTCAGATAAAATTGTGCTTCCTATGAACATAAAAAGAAAACATTGAATGTAGCTCCACAATGAAGCCAGCATCATAAGTAATTAACTCAACAAAAGCACTGATCAATTTTTGGATAACAAACAATCAAAACATCTTGAAAACAACTAAGTGGACCGGAGTTCTATTAACAAAGAAACATTTTTCTTATGAAGTCGGTATAATTACAGAAGCTAAGAAACAGTGTACTAACCAAGTCAGAAATATGGGCTACACTCAGAAGCAAACGTTCCTGGATACATTTGTCAGGAAAAATTACAATATACACAATCCTGCCAAGAGTCTCCACAAGTTATCAACACAGCCTTCATGTGATAATTGTATTCTATCCACAAATTGAGCCACCCTTCAATGAAACATGTCTCGCAGCCAACTAAAAAAAACGTCAAATGTAACAAACTAAGCAGGAATTGATCAAGAAGTGAAAAGGATAGGCGTAGAGGTCATGAGTTATGGATTCCTTTTACCCTGAAGAGTAAACTGCTATATTTGTAACAGGAAATAGAGATGCAAGAAAAAATTGTAAACTTAAACATGATAATAACATGCGAACAAATAAAAACAATTACAAATACACCTCATTCTTGCTACAAAAGGGGTGCACATTTTAAACAGCACATTTCATTTTCACTTCAATAACGAAAGTCAAATGTTGTGCTGAAAAGTAAAATAAAGAATGAAATGTTCACGGCAAAGATTTCATTAACAGATGAATATTAACTAAGTACCTAATAAGACTATATCCTTATTCTCGAGGTGGCCTCCAACTGTTAACGGCAGACATGTCTGGTCGACATGGCAATATTGGTGAAACACCATGACCTGAAAGATACATCCATGATGTCATTCTCTGATTTAATATGTACTTGATTCTTTAACTGGCAAACCAAGAAAAAAAAAATTGCAATACCTGAATTTGCAGCTCCAGCTGGTAGATTATCGGTGGAAGCAATTGGATAACCCATATTACTTGAGGGTGGCCTTTCAACAGGTGGTCTAAAGTAACCTGCCAAACAATTAACAGAAGTGTCACAAAAAAGTAGGTACATCTGATAAGCACATTAAGTCCCGTATGAAGAGGAAGTCTTGCACATGAAATATGCATGAAAAATATAATCAAAACAACATCTCAGATACTAATTCATGGGCATAAGAATGAGCTCTTAAAAGGATTTCCATCTGCAATGCCTCATGGAAATCTAAGACTAACTGTATTGTATTACCTCAATTTTTTTAAAAGACTTAGTGTCACTCATGTTATTTATAGTATAGATAATACGTGGATACTACCAGTCCCAAAAAAAAGCTTGCAGATACAGTATGAAGTGTGCCTTTCATATTTATATGGTGACATGTTCTACATTTTTATGGATTTTTCTCCTTTTGAACAGCAAATCATCCATAACATCATGCAAGTAAGCAACACCTTGAAGTCTGACTGCCACAACCATAGAGGGGGCATATATTTAATTTGCAGGTAAGAACAGTACAATCAGATAAAATAAATAAATTTAATGACCCTAAACATACATTTTTTAACCATGGAAGCTTCCTAGGGATTAGGAGCAAGGTAATTCATACCTTCCTGGACAAACAATGGACCAGAAGGTGGTGGATTTCTTCCAGCCATCCACCCACACTGATTATCAGTATTATAATCTCCGGCAGGCATTCTCCACTGTTCATCAGCAACAAATGGCCTGTGGCTATCATGTTGCGATGGCAATGAGTATGGAGGAGGATATGAATGCTGAGGATGTGGTCGCATGGAAGACTTTGTGAATGAGAAATGGCTGGATGAAATTTGTGGCAGATTCGGGGGCAAAGGTCTTTGCACCAAGGCTGTATTACCAGGTTGAAATTGTTGACTTGGTTGAGAGGATTGGGCATTTAAGTAAATTTCATTATGTCCATATTCCAATTGCCTTGAAGAATTATATCCAGAAGGCTCCCGAGAATTTCGGGCTCCTGAAGAAAAGCAAGGTGACTGCTGCAGAAATGATTCACTTTTCACAGCAACATCTATATGGCCTCCATGAGGAGCAGTTCCACCCATTTGAACTATATGATTACCCTGCAAACGAAGGCATATGCTTTATAAATTAAAATGTACTGACAAACTTAGTAGCAAGCAAAGAAATACCTAGAAGACTTACATTTGGTGTGCCCTGAAATTCATGATGTACAGGTGGTTGATACGCCAACTGTGGTGAAGACTGCATCAATGACTGGGGTGGCATGGGTTGAGATAGCAGTGAAGGTTGAGTGGGTAATGGTGGTTGGGGTACGAAGGCTGGAGGAGGGCATGAAGGCAGCGAAAGAGGAGGAGGTGGTTGTGCTGGTAAGGGTAGATGAGGTGGGGGTGGGGGTGGTGATGGAGATGATGAAGGTGGGGGTGGAGGTGGTGAAGGTGGCAAAGGTGGTAGGGGTGGAGGAGAATCTGGGGGCAATGGTGGGGATCCCTCTGGTATAGGAGGGAATCCGTCGGAGCTATTTGAAGCTGGTTCCATAATCTTATCAGTGTCCAGCTGTTGCATGTCCTTTTCAAGAGTATCATTAGCGAATGATGGTCTGTCATCCTTCTGGTGTGCAGACACATCTTCCATTTCAAGCTCACCATCCACATCTTCTAAGATGCAATGACGCCTGTCACTTGGAGTAACCGTACACACTTCTAACTCTGCCGAAATCTGAGCCGTTTCTAGAGGTGATGCGTCAACAGCTTCTCCACAAGGACTGTCTGAAAGATCTTCCTCATCATCTTCAAATGCATTTGAAGACAAAAGGCCAGGCAGCTGAAATGTAGCATTACTGGTTACAAAACCAACAAAATTGGTGTCAGAAAGTTAGTGTTCCCCTCAAGTGACAAATCTAGGAAGTAGAAGATGGGACATATATGCTACAAAAGAACTTTGGAAAAAACTTCAAATTTTAGAAATTTGAGAAACTTCAATAAGATAACTCAGGAAGTAGGTAGCTCAGCAACATATTCCCAATCAGATGAATGACAATAGCATAGTGAAACGGGATGCTGATACTTCTGGCCTAAGCTAAAATTAACTAAAGTATCCAAGTTGGATTGGCCTAGTTTGAAAAGCAAAAGGTTTTACTTTGGTCTGAAAATCAAGCTGATAAGTAAATTTGATCTTAGTTTGGCTTCAAATATATATGAAACCAAACAAAAACAAACCCAATCTTCAATAGGATATAGTAGATATTATTTATTATCATTACAATAACTTCATTTAAATAGTTGAAAGAGCTTTCACCTGCCATACTCGTCGACAAGCATGCCTTCCATTTCTCTTATAGGATCATCTATAGCACGTTCAGCTCGAGACGGGCGCCTTAGGGAAAACCCTGAGATTGTATCATCATTTGAAACTCCAATGTCATTCATATAACACCGCAGAATTGGTTCAGGAAAAATTTTCCTCTCAAGCCACAACCGTAGAACCTGGTATAGACAAAAGATCCCCTTAACCTTCAGGGGGGTGGGAGAGGGTGGGGTGGAATGAACAGAATAATACTTTCTTACATTGAAAAACAATATTATACCTTAAGACATTGACGACGATTTTCACGAGAACTTGCTCCAGGTGGAGCAGCTGCACCCAGGAGACGGGGCAGTGCTGTTTGAACAGTAGGGACATATGAAGCACCAGCAATGCCTAAATAAACATTAACCACAACCGTTTAATTGATGCATTCATAGATCACATTCGACTATTTCAGTGAGTGTAACCAAGTAGAAGAGGACTTAAAAAAGTGTTCTTGTTAAAATGAAGCACTCCTTCAAAGCTCTAAAGATGCAACTCAGTACAAATATATTACATAACAAATAAGGAAATAAGACTCAACAAGAAAAAAAAAAGTTGAAGTGAAATAAAAAAAAATTCTTAACCTCCAGCAACAGATAAATTACGAACCTTTCTGATTATATGAGCATTGGGTGATTGAATCAACAAGAAAGAACAGGTCAACTTTACGATGAAAACTGGGCTCGCTTTCCAGCTTCCGGATGAGAAGCTCAACAACCTGCATACAGATTATGGAATCTAAAGCTCATTCCAAAAAGTAGTCTTCAAAAGGATAATAATATCATATGTAATCATTAACATATAGATAATAAAATTATAAATCGTAATATAAAATTTGGGGTCAAACAAGCTCATCTTGCACCTATAAGCATAATAGTTAACTTACTTCATTTGCAATGCCATACTTTGCACAATCAATAGCGAGGCGAGTTGCACGTCCAATACTTTCTTTCGTCCTTGATAAAGTCTCTATCATTCCTTCAAAAGCATCTCGAGCAACAGATGTCTCGGTACCACCACTGAGAGAGCCACCAGCTGCCATGTGTCCTGAAGTAGCTCTTCTCTCTTCAATCTCCTCCGTGTCCAGTTGATTTTGGGATCCTGACTGACGTCCAAGAGTTGGTGGAGAAACTATACTTGTTGGATGAACAAATCCCTGCACTTCATTGTTGATCGCAGAGGGAAAAGGTTGAACTGCAGGACTGGAGCTCCTCCCAAGAACCTCAGACATCGACAGAAACACAGAACTAGGATTTCCTAGAGAATACTGTTGAGAGTGAGCTTGTCTCCTTTTTGCCTGGGCAGCGGCGATAAGATGCTTCATTGACGTAGCAGAATCTGGATTTTTGGAATCAATCAGCGAACCACCTCTATATTCTCTAAAGATGTCAAATCTGTACAGAAAGAAATTAGTTTACACAATGCAATGAAAATTAATATAATAACTTAAAAAAGATTAATTGAATTTAATAATAATAAGGGAAATGCAGAACCATACTCCATTGAAGTTTCAGTAACAAAAGTGGTGTCATTTACACGTGAAACTTCTTTTGGAGTAGATTTCGATCTCTCTACGGAAGAAGCTTGTCTATGTCTTTGACTCGAAACCTGATTTTGAGAAGACTTTGAACCATCAGTCGAAACCTTGACAGCGGCTTTAGCAGTTCTGTATTGTTCAACTTGTTTTGTGGCAGAAACCAGATAAGGAGACTTCATGGGGGAAATCAGGACTGGTTTTGCCTCCTTGGAAGACAACTGTTCTGATTCTGATCTTTCAGGAGCGAAGGCATGAATAGAAAGCCTCCTTTCAACAGTTTGTGGTCGAATATGTGACACAAAATCATTCACCAATTGTGAAGATGCCTCCTTGGGACCATTGTTCTCATATTGGCTGGAATCTCCAATACTGCGTTGAGCATCAGTAGCAGTTGAGTGATTTACATCAATGATTTTTGAAGCAGAAGAAACAACAGAAGTTACTTTAACATCCCGGGTAGATACTCCATGAAGTGGGGTTTTGGGATCTTCTTCATCATCATCAAAAAGACAAACAGCTCTAGGCCTTCTGGGCAATTGGGTAGCAGGAAGTTTCACATTACCAGAACTTGAAGTGTCATTCTTCAATTCAACAGGATTTTTTCCAATTTTATTGTCAGAATAACTAGAATCAACCATTGACTCCAGAGCCAGCCATTGGCGTTTTGGTAAGGGCAGCACAGCTTCATCATTGGAAACATCAGAAATAACAGATGCCCGAGCTCTCAATACTGAAACATGAGGTGTGGATTTCCTCGAATCTGACTGTTTAGCAGCTTTGTCATTGACATTGTTAGAGCTTGGAGAATTAGTTTTCATTTTTTTGACAAGAGATCCCTTGGAAGCCTCATTTTCCATATCTAAAACCTTTGGCTTTTTGCCAGGATGGAAAACTTCATCTCCTCCCGGTTTTGGCTTTCCAAATCCAGTTTCACCCCTTTTTTTCTTGCCAGTAGTCTCAACCTTTGGATTAGCCACAGCATCCTTTACATCAGCGGTAACCTTCAAGTTGCTGTTGCTTTTGCTTTTCAGCAATTCCTTTGGCTTTTTACCACTATTGTGATTAGAATTTGATTTGAAATCATCTGGCGAGAATTTCCTTGCAGAGCTATCCAAGACTTTGCCTTTTAGTCTATCCTTTAATTGCTCCTCAAAATCAGGCCGATCAAGACAACCACCAGATTTAACATCCCTCGATAATGTTGCAGCTGAGCTGCTGCTTTTCTGCCCTTGATGGGTTCTTTTCTTTAACCCAGGAGCCATCTTCTTTGACATCTGATCATACCTCAAAATTTTCTTAGTGGAATTGACTGTAGAAATTTTATCATCAGAAAATTCCTCCTTTATATGAGAAGGCTCATCTAAAGATGCTGGAGATAACACCACCTTTTTAGCTTGTTCACCACTTGAAATTTTATCTTTACCCTCAAAAGACATAGTTGGAGATGAGCTATCATCTGCATGACCGGAAATCAAAGGCTTTATGTGTTCTCTATTACTTTCACCTTTTCCTAAACTAGTGGTTTCTTCATCAGGTGCTACTGCAACTGGTCCATTCTTTAAGTCAGCCTTAGAGCCTTCGTCCTCAACCCCATCAGCAGATGAAGCCTCACGGCTAGGTTCTGGTCTATCAGATTCATTTCTCAAATCATTGGACTTCTCTTTATGTAACTCATCAAATGCCACGCAGATTTCCTTAACTGCTTGGACAAAGTACCTAGTTTTAACAACTTGACACTTAGCAGACAATTTACTCTTTGTCTCATTTGTAAACACTTGAATATCGGCAGGGGCAACAAAAGCTCTGTAAAAGAAGAAAGCCATAGGGGGGTAGTAAGCAACTGGAACACAAGTTAACTTTAGTTCAAAAAGTAGTTGGAGGAAAATAATAATGCATGCAAGCATCTCTTGGCCGGAAAAGAAAAGTATCGCTTCTTTTATACAAAAGAAATTGTAAAAAACTGCAACAATCAAATAAGAAAATCCCAATCACATAAATACTAGGTATAAGAGAGAGAAAAGATGGAGATATTCAATCCATCAACTTGCTCATATGTGCATGAACATGATGTGCACAAGGAAAAAGAAAATACACCACCAAGTATTAAAAAGTAACAAAAGACAAAATGAGTAGGTTCTCATTTTCAACAAATTTAAAGATGTCTGGCACATAATTGAGGAGAAGAAGCATCATCAATCAACCATTATAATCCAAAGTGGAATCAAGTTTCCCATTCAAGGCATATATGGATGCAACAATACTAAAAATTCAGGAGAAGGAAAATCCCAATACAAGCCCATAATGGATGGAACATTTCGAAAAACCAAAAATATATTCCCAGAGCCACTTCACTATTTACACAAAGACACCATTTATGCAAAAATGCTACCAAGGATAATACCAGTTGTACTTATTTTTACGGCATTTAAAATTCCTTTACATGAAGACCTCTGCATATATACCATATGCAAAACACTGAGCTAAAATCTCAAAATTGCTAAATCAAACCAGAGATGCTCCTCTATCTAATTCATGGTCAGAAGTAGGGAAGCTATTTGGACTCAAGTTATTTATCCAAGACGACTCATAAATTTATAGTAAAATTGGAAACTCTATGTCCAAACATATTCTGAATACATACAAGATTGGTTTGAACTTTATTTCTTCTCAAGATAGTAGCTACAAAAACAACTCATCCAACAATAAAGAAAACAGATAAAGAAATGCTATCAACCACATAAAAGTTTCATTGTACAAACTACAAAATAAAAAGATCCATTACTGTGCCCTAAATGCTACAGCAATAAATTATGAATAAGTCCTCCATCAAGATTGGTTATTAGAGAAAGAATATTTCTAAAATTCTATGCGAGTATAATAAATGTGAGAATGCAAACTAACATAGCATACAAAAAACCTAAATCAAAAATCCATTTAATGCTAACAATTAATAAAAGTTTTAAAAATGGAAATTTGCAGTGCCTTTCAATTCAACTCCAAATAAGCTACACCAACTTTCAAATTCAGCACAGTGCAATTAAGTTATAAATATAATCATCATGACTACTAATTATGCCAACTATGATTCCTTTCTTGAAAATATGACTCGACATTGGCTACAACCCACAAATGCATCCATGTCACGAACCAAAGCATTGTTGAAAAAATAGTATTTAAGACAATAATAATAACAAATAAAATTATTTAAAATAGATTTATTGCTCTTTTAATTAATTTCATGTATATAGACCTATCACACTCTACAAGCAGAAACTTCAATTTGGAGCTAACTGATAGCCGTTACAAGCTCATTCCGTAAGTTTTAATTTTGCCTGCTTTAGTTTTCTAAAGTAGAGAAACTATTGCCTTTTTATTCATTTGGGAAGATTTAGAGAGTTTTTTTCATTTTTTAAATAAATAATAATATTATTAAGAGAAACAAAAACATAGGTATATTTCTCAGACGTGCCATTTTTGCACTTAAATTTCACTAACAAGAATGCTTACGCACAAAAAGTCTTGCCTCATCAAAGGAGCCTAGCTCAGAGGCTCTTGAGCTGTTAACAGATTCAGGCACCATGCCTTGGTGCCTAGGCACAAGCCTTTACAACAAGGATTGGTGTCCGGCATACTCAACAAGTTATTTGGATACAAGTATACAACAAAACAAATACTTTCGGAAGGAATTTAGCAGTAACACCTTTCATGTGTTTTCCTTCATACCAGAAAGCAAATGCAAAACCTAGAATAGACACATCAACTCTCTTAAGTCACCATGTTGCCATCTCACTCATTCAACAAACATGTAGAAATTGAATGTGGATTACTTACATTTCTTCTGTTCCAAAGAATTGGACAAAATATTTCTTAGGGTCAGGCTCTCGCTCCCAATCTTCAGGCCTGCTAATCTGAAATTCATAACCCGCATAATCTTACCTCAATAACCAATATCACAAATTAACCAAGCCCTGAGTAACAGAATAAAAAATTGAAATCCCTAAATAATTTTTTGATGCACTTGGTAGGATCAACTTGATCTAGCATTCAAGGGGGGGGGGGGAAACACATAAGTATTTAGTCATATTTCCTTCGGTCCAAAAAATAACATTGCATATTTGCATTAAGTAACCATTTAAGAAACAGATCAAAGTATTAAATCTGAAACACCAAAAACAAAATCAGCTAGCATAAGCACGGAGAACGTTGAATCCAAAAAACAAAACAAAACTTACTTAAAAGGCAACAAATTGAATATAAACCAGAAAATATACTACAAAGTAAGACAATGTAAGCACAAAAGAAACTTACCAACATCACACAAAACTTTCTTAAACTAAAATCCCCAAACTCTTCACGGATTTATTCAAATTTCCACAAGTTCAGAAGAGCATATAACAAAACAAAGAATACAATCATAAATTTCCCCAAACTAGTACTAATAAAACAAAAGGAAATAAAAGAAAAATGGGGAAGAGAGACCTTGGCAGGCCAAGCAGGGAAACCCTTGACTTTGGCAAGAACAAGATCACCCAAACTAAAATTCTCAACTTTTGCTTTGTTCCCTCCCCTTTTACGACTCCCAGCCATAAGATTAAAACCCTAACAGATCCTTCGACGCCGTCGTCGTTACGTCGTCGTCGTTATTCCTTTCTTCCGCAAACCAAATCCCAAATACGATTCCAGATTCAAATCCAAACCCCCAAAAAGGAAAAACAACAAACAAACCCTAGAGATAGCAAGAGAAGGTAAGATTTGAAATTTTGGTGCCACTGATATCGCCGGCGGCGGCGACGCGCCCTGGGAAGTTCCGGCGAGGGCAAGTGATTAGGGCATCGAGAGGGGCGAGGAAGACGGTGGCAGTGGACGAAGAAGAGATTATTGGATTATTGAGTAGAAATGGTAGATATATTTTTCTTTTCCTGATTATTGTGGGGCGCGTGAGTGAGGTTCAGGACGATAAGTAACCACAAGGAACGAGAGGAGAAATGAAGGCCGAAGTTCTGCGTTTGGTGTTGTCGGTTTACAATCTCTGGTCTCTCCTTCTCTCCCCTGTTTTAGATTTTGTTTCCAAATTCCCTTTCCATGATATAAAGTTGTAGCTTTAAAAATATATATTTAAATGATATTTAAATTTTTAAGTAAATCGCAGTTTTAATATCTCAATTTTCATTTTCATTTTATTTTGATCACTCAACTATCTTTTTAATCATATCTAACATTTAGTTTTGATTTCATTTTAATCACTTACCATTAAAAATTTAACGATACTACTGATATATCATCATAAGGTGATGTCACATTGATAACTCTGTAAAAGACCGTGTTCTGAGTCTTTTTACTTAGTTATTGTTTGCCTAAAAGCTATTTGTCATAACATTTTAGTTGTATATAGTTGCATGCAGTATACACTTGTATGTGGTGGATAAGTTTTGCTGAGGCAAACTTTATTTGGTTCAAGTGATGCTGCTTTAGAGGAAGGTTGTTGGCTGGTTGTGTTGATGCAAGAAATGACGAATGAGGAATTTATTTGCCGAGGCAGAGAAATTCTCCGAGGCTAGAGGAACACAAGAAGACGACAATGAGGAACATATTTTCTTACCAAGGCAAGATTTATCTTGCAAGTCTGACGTGGCTCAACAAAATTGCTGACGTCATTTACCCAGCTTCATCCTCACGTGCAATCATGCCCTCATCAAGGAAATTGACCACTGGCAGCTGCTATGTCATTTATAAAATGGGTATGTCAACGAGGGTATTTAGGGAATTTCCAATGGCACTGAACCATATAAATTCCAATTATAAATACCCCATCATAGCTTTTCAAAAGGCGACGCAATCAAGGAGAGAATATACCCTAGGCTTGGAGTAAGCAACTGCAATACCCTATTTTCCATCGTTCCCACTCGACCGTTCTTGGTGCCCTCCATAGTCAGGCTTAATCGGAGCAGCGGTCAGGCCCTCGAGAGAGGCCGACCGCTGGAGCAGGCGTGGTGGTGGTCAGAATGTCACGACATAGCTCTTTTTTTGGGAATGTTTACTCATTTGTTCTTCATCTTCATATCTTGTTAAGGGTTATACTTAAAAGAATGATTTATGGATAATATTCATTGTACCATGAATTGTTTTACTTGGTGTTGGTTATTGTTTTGTTGCACGTTATTTGCTTGTTAATGAATGATGTAGTTTGTTTATGTTAAGTGTCGTTTTGTTCACTGTTTAAATATTTTTCCTTAACACTGTAAGAGCTTTTGAGAGATTGTCTGGTGCCTTGGCAAAACATACATAGACTTTGTAAGAGCTTTCGAGAGATTGTCATTTTTCTATGAATAGATGTTTAATATCGAGGGAATTAGGGTAGATCTACGTGAACAATGGAACTAATTTGGGATGGTGAGGTTCTAATCCGCCTTTGAGATAGGGAAAGAGTTTCATTCGACTAAAAGGGGTAAATAATCGAGTAAGATATGTAAAGACTACAGTTTACGTTGAGGGGTATTGCCACAACAATAGTTTGACAAACCAAGGATTGTAGCTCACGCCAAGTAGTATTGACGTAGCAATCATCCTTGAATACTCTAGTAATCATGTCGGGCAACCTAAGCATAGCACACTAAATCATTCTTAGCGTAAAATAGATTCTCGCCATAGCAAAACCAACCTAAGTTTTTCATAAGAAGTCTGATTGTGTGAGGTTTTTCTGAATATATCAAACTCAACATTTTTATTTTCTTAGACAACTTTTATTTATTTACCTTTGAACATTTTTTTTTGCCTCGACCAAACTTTTATGCACACCACACTTTACAATATTTCTTGCCTCAACGATACTTTTCCATCTGTTTAAACCATTTAATCCCGTTTGTTTCTCTTTTTGGCAAGAACCATAGGACTAGCTTGTGATACCTAGTACTAGCTCTAGCAAAACATCAAAAATTCCCACCAATCCCGTGGAGACGAAACTCAAATTACAATTATATTACTTGCATCGATTGTGTACACTTGCACAGATTTGCTTGCCTTAGTATATACATTTGCAAGCGATCACAAATTATCATTGAAAAATAACAAAATTACCACATCAACTTTTATGTTATTGATAGGGGTGTAAATGAATAGAGCGTTTGGTGAAATGTTCATGAATCATTCATATAACGTTCGTTTATGTTCGTTTGTTAAGCTAAATAAACGAGTATGACAAAAAAAATTATGTTCATTTAATAAACGAAGAAACATAAACATATGTGTGTTCCATTCGTTTATGTTCACGAATAAACTCGTTCATAAACTTGATTATGAGCTTGTTTATCAACTTGTTCATTTATGTTCACGAACAAGTTTGTTTACATGGTCCTTCTTTTTCCTTTTTTTTTACATTTTAAATATCGGTGAAGATAAGGACTAAATTGAACACATGATAAAAGTTAAAATTTAAACTGTGAATTTTAATGAGTTTAAGCACTGTTGGTATAATTTTTCAATTTGTTAGCTTGCAAATGAAAGGGTAAAACTAAAAATTGAACATATAAACGAACATGTCCATGAATGCTAAAGGAACATGTTCATGAATGCTAAAGGAACATGTTCATGAATATGTTCGTGAACATATAAACAAATACGTTAGTGAACATTAAATGAACACGTTCATGAACAATATATAAAGGAACATGTTCATGAATGCTAAAGGAACATGTTCATGAATGATAAAGGAACATGTTCATGAATATGTTCGTGAACATATAAACAAATACGTTCGTGAACATTAAATGAACACGTTCATGAACAATAAATAAACGAACACAATATTAGAATTTTAAATTATCACGAAGCGAACATAAACACCTTCAAAAATAAACAAACGAACTTGAACATAACGTTGTTCGTTCAACTTTGGTTCATTTACACCCCTATCTGTTAAATTTTTAATAGTGGGTGCCCACAATGATATCAAAATGTAACATTAGGTATGATTTTAAAAAAATGGATGATCAAAGCAGAATAAAAATTATAGATGGGGCATTAAATGTGTAGTTTACCATATATTTTTAATATGATAACATATATGATGTACTAATTTAAATTTTAATAAAATATTAAAATAATTATTGATCGTAAATATTCCATAAAAATATATAAAATTTAGAATATCATTTTATCTAAAAATGAGTTAGACCTATTGAACTGCCTCAATAGTTGAAATGAGTTTTGCTCTATAGAATGTGCATAAAGAGTGAAAAATTATTGTTCCTCTCAAATTTTTTGATCGAATAATATTTTAGGTTTTTATTAGTTTAAAATTAAATTAATTCATAATATTAATCTTAACTTCGTTTCTAATTACGAGATATAGAATTTTTAAAGCTAGTATTAAGCTAATTAATATATTTATTTCCTACTTTTAGAGAAAACTTTTGTAATTGAGTTAAAAAATGACTTTTAAACGTATTTTTCTTTAAAAAATATATGTTTAGTATTATTTATTATTTTAAGGTTTAGGATTTAGATTGTATCTGAAAATGTTACGAAGAATATCACATTTTATATTTTTAATAATTTTTTAGGCCACACTTAATTTTACCTTTTTTTAATGGCGTTCCAACCCTTTTATAGGATTTTCTTATAAATCATTCATTATATTAAAATAAAAAAGAAAATACTAATAGGGATGTTCAAATCCGCAATTAAAAAAATAGGGATGTTTAAATTCGGATAACAATGACTTTCAAATTTATGATATTAAATGTTTTCAAATTTAATAGTTAAAATTAAATAAAATAAAAATAAAAGTGATTAAATAAAAAAGAAAAGCCATCAATTAGTCCAAGATTAATGCCAACATCAGCAATAAAAAATATAAAAAAATCAAGTGGATTTTTTAATTTAATAATTAAAATTAAATAAAATCAAAATAAAAGTGATTAAATTTATAATTTATCCAAAATTTTACTATTCAGATCAATCATAACAACTATGTGTGTTCAAATCCGGGTATCCGAGATTTTCAGGTTGCTAAAACTCGGCTCGTGGCCTAGTCCATAAGAGGTGGGATCGTAAAACTTGGATACCTGCATTTTCAGGTTATGAGTATCGATTAATATTTATTTTTCTTTTAGTTTATGTTAACTTTTTTTAAAAAATCCACGTAGAAAAAACATAAAATTTCAAACTTAAAAGTTTCTAATACATAACATAAACATAAAATTAATAAATCTAAATTATATAATCTAAAAGTAAAATTTAAAAAAACAAAAATAAAATAAAATTATAAAATTACAATGAAATTTAAAATAATTTGAGATTAAAAGAAATAATTTAAATGTTAAGGTGAAATAATTTAAATAAAATAAAGATTTAGAATGATAGTGTAAAATAATTTTGAATTTATATATGAAAAGTCTAATTTAAAATAAAAAATAGTATTAAAATTAAAAAAAATGGGAATTAGGTCTGTGGGTACCCAATTAAGAGTAATATTATGACCTGAACCCGAGCAGAAAACCTACTGTCATAACCATTTTTTGTAAAATAATTAAATATTATTTTAAAAACGATTATGACTTTTATTTGGAAAAATTGACGGTTTTGAATTGATTTGGATGAAATTGGATGGGAGTCGCTATCGACCTTTGGTTTAGGTAGGTCGAATACCTAAAAACGTTTTTTTAAAACAATTTTAAGAAAAAACATTTTATAAGACAAAAATTGGTTTGTGTTACCAAAGATTCATTTTAACGGGTTCGTGAATTGATTACGCGTGGGGAAGGATAAGCTCCCCCACAGCGCCCAAAATTGATATTGTGTCGCTTACATATTGTCGTAATATGATCCATTTATTAAGTTGCTTCGAATTAATTAATTAGAGAAAATTCTTTAACTTGAAAAGAAATCTCGAGATTAGCAATCCTCCATCGGGAAAGTTATCTTGTCTATTTCTTATCCGTAAAGAATATTCCTTCCTCAATAAAATGCATATTAAATAAAAAAATTGAAAATTGACATTTGCGAAAAATAATATAAATTGTCATTTAGAAACATGTATTACATT